CACAGGTAGACCTGATTGCTCCGTTTTGTGTGTGTGCCCACGCCTTCACAAGCTTATATCCTAATGTCTGTATGCACTTACCTACAAGTATCCACTGTCCTACCCTATACCCCAACTCACACAGTGCTTGGCACAAAGTGATGTTCTGTAAAGTCAATAAGTGAATGGAGTGGAAATATGGCTGAGGGAGAGAGAAGAAATGGAAAGCTGAAGAGCAAGCTCTTTAGGGCGAATATAAAATTGTTTTGGATATGCAAATGATGAGCTGTGAGGCAGGTCAAAAAGATGTAAAAGGAAGCACCTCACTTTTACAGGTACTTACAGCCTCCTTGGGAGGCAAAGTAAACTTTCTCAACAGTAACAAGGTAATTAGATATCTGGGTGAAATGGCTCGTGCATTTTCATAAAAACTTAAGAGGCTGGGGAAGTCCCTGCTGAGGAGGATGGAGCTGAAAAGTGGCTTAATCAAGTGCTTTTAAGTGAAAGGCGTTTTTGCGCGTTAAGCAGTTTAATCTTTACAACCACCCTACGATGATATACTCTCCATTTTAGAGACGAAGAAACATACTCAGAATTTAGGTTGCTCAATGTCACAAACTACCCTACAGAAGAACCATCATTTGAATCTGGGTTAGCTGCCTCCAACGCCCTGTTCATTTCGCCATAGCCCTCCTCTGCGGTTCAGAGCCCCGGGCTCGGGCATTACCTGCTCCCGAGTTGGCGTTTCCCCGGGACCCCACGGCTCTCGCGCCCCGCGCCCCGGGAGCCGCCCCCCCGGCGCGCCCCGCCCTCTCGCGCTCAGTGCGCCGGCGCGTCCGGCTGCTGCCCGCCCTCGGGGGAGGGGCCCGCGGCGGCGGAGGCGGTGTCCGGACCTCGGGGCGGGCTGTGGGCGCGCTCGCGAAGGTGGTGGGCCGGCGGGCGGGCGGGCGCGAGGCCGCGGTGGAGGAGGAACTTGTTGCGCCCGCGGCTGCGCGGTGCCGCTCCCTCGGTTCCAGTTCGCCCGGGCGGGCGCGGCGGCGGCGGCAGAGGAGGTGCGGGGCCGGCGCGATGCGGCGCTACCTGCGCATCGTGGTGCTGTGCCTGGCCTGCGGCTTCTGCTCGCTCCTCTACGCCTTCAGCCAGCTCGCCGTGTCCCTGGAAGAAGGAGCGGGCGGAGGTGGCGGGAAGCCACAGGCCAAAGCGGCTTCCTGGCTCGCGGGCGGCGGACGCGGCGCGGCGAGAGGGGCAGGCAGCGCGGACCCCGCAGCGCATCCCAGCGGGTCGGACAGGTACGGGCCGTGTACCGTGGGGCCGGGGCGAGGGCCGGGGCGGGGGCTTAGTGGGCGCGGGGACGCGGGGCCCGGCCTGGCCCCGGCTGCTCGCCGGTCTGTCCCGCGCCTGCCGCCGCTGGGCCCGCGCCTCCCGCCTCTTTGCCGCTGTCTCTGACCCCCTTTCACTCTTTTCCCTCCTTCCCTTCATCCCCAGAGGTGAGCCCGGCGTCCCCCCAGCCTGAGAGCACCCCACGCTTTTGTGTTTGTCTCTGACCCATTCCTTATGCGCTCTTTAAAGCAGGAGAAATTAATTTTCAACTTTTAATTGACAGTTGATTTTTTTTAAGGGATTCTTTGAAAATAAGAGGTGCCCCACAAAAGCCTTTCTGCTGTCCGACTGGTGGGAATTCCGTCTTGTTTCCATGGAGTTCAAGCTGAGATATTTAAACATCAGGCTGGCGCCCTAGTTCAATTTTTTACCCCTCCTGAATTGGGCGTCTAACTCTGTGTGTTTAACGCTTAAGTTTGTCATTATTAGTTGGTTCGTTAAATCTGGACAGAGCGTTTATGCGGATTGTGAATTTTTCTTTAGGAAGCAGCAAGTTAAGAGAAATGAGGGATACTTAACACGCTCAGCGTCTTTCGTGAGATGGGATAGAGGTATCTAAAATTTGGTATTTAAAAAGCAGCGTAATGTCTTAAGTGGGTTTACACAAATCACTGCTAGAGTTGGAAGCAGCATGAGATTTAAACGGAGAAAAGAATGCAACGCATTATGAATGCGTAACAAAGTCCAAGCATTTCCACTTCCTTGGAAATAGGCTCATCTCTTTGTGGGCACCTCTCGGGGAACGTCCCAGAGTGCTTCGTTAGTAAGGAAAGGTTGCTTTGATATCGAAAGTATGTTGGAAGGAGGGTGTTGCAGTTGATAGTCATTCTCAAAATGGAAGGGGGTCGTTTGGGCAAAGGAGCAGCATGGAAATGCTGGATTGTTATGTTTTTATCCTTTGAATTGATTACAGTCAGGGAAATTCTTAGGATATAAGAACTCTATTCATAAAAGCAGCACTATTTCCAGAGCCAGGTTTGTCAACTCTCAGTTATCTTCCTGAGAGAGGCAGTGACTGCATGAGCTGGAAGACCTGGATGCGCTTTGAAAAATGCTCATGAAAAGCAGTAGTTCATGGTCTATTATGTTATTGTGAAGCACTGAAAATTATGGAAAAGAAATTATTGGATTGGCTAGAATTTTAAGAAAGCAACATTTTAATCAAAAGAATGAATGAAATTGGACGATGATATTAGCACTTCCATTTGATAGAGTAACATTTTTAGTGCTTTGTCTCCCATACTTAGACTTTATTTTGTGACAGATTTTGTATAAATTGTATTTGCTTGACCAGCTCTTAACAAAATGATTATTTTGAAATTTAGAAAATAAGCACTTATGTTTTAATAAATTTTTTTGAGCTATTACTGAAATCTTAAGTTCAACGTGTCAGACAGAGTAGAGTCAACTGAAATGTATATATTACAGGTCCTCTGAGCAGCATAACTCCTCATTTCAGTGGGACATACATTTACATTAAAAGTAAAGCTGTATTAGTTTTTGTAAAAATGTGAAGTACATTTCACCCCATGTGCATATATAAGGAGAAGTTTGGGCAGAGGAACAACATGGAAAAGCTGAATTGTCACGTTTTTACTCTACGATTTGAGTCAAGTGAGAACAGCTAAGATATCTGGATTCTTAATTTTAGATATTATTGTTTGTGACATCTTTTTTAGATTTCTCCTAGAGTTTTTTTAGCTACAGTGGGATGGGGGGTAGTTATCCTTAACCTCTGCTCCTGTGTATAAGTCATTTGGCCAAGCAAGGTTCATTGGACCAGGATTAAAAACTATCCTTTGATTGCTCTCCAAGTGCTCTTTCTATAAAGCTGCTGGGATAAGAGTCTAGTTTGTAGTGTTTCATCACTGGAGAATGCGGCTGTGAGTCAAGCAACATCTTCCTTTTTTTCGGTAGGACTTGATTATCCTTATAGTTTTACTTTTTTTGAAGCCATTAAGGCTGTTATTTTCCTCTTTCATTTAACACGTGGGATCTAGGGTTAACATTCAGCAGGTTCCATTGGTCAAATCTTATGGAAAGTAGTCATTGCATGAAATTCCATGACAGCAAAAATACTTGGAAAGATCCTTGCAAGTTCTCAAAGTAAAAACTAAAATGATAGGAAAATTTTTTCAGTGAAATCTATTATTAATTAGTGCATTCTGTTTAAATCCATTATTTTGGTAATTAGAAAATGCAAGGTCTTAGAGTCAGACAGCACTGTGTTCTCATTCTGGCTCTGCTGTGAAACGACCACTTCTCTGCTTCAGTTTCTCACCTGTAAAATGTAGATAATAATGGATTTGTAGTAGTCATTGTAGAAGTCAAAGAATTCTTAGTTGTCAGTGATAAAAATCCACTAAAACTGACTTAAGCAAAACATATATTTATAAGCTTATATCGGTGGCTGAAAAGAACAAAATGGAAGGAAAAATGCCCAGCTATCCCCAGGGACCCCTAGGACTGGGGACTTTCTCATTCTCTTCCACTGTAGATGGGCTTTGCTCATGGGGTCTTTCCGCCCCTTGGAGTGTTTCTTCTCTAATCTCAAATAGAAAATTCTAGGAAAAGGGCACTCATTAGACTTGCTTGCATCACGTGTCCATCTGGGGACCAGTCAGTGTTGCCTGGGATGGAGACCTCTGGTTCTCTGGGTCTGTGCCTCCTGCACATCCCTGTGGCGGAGAGAATAACGTGATTGATGTTGGAGATCTGTGGTGCCTCAAAGGAGGGGAAATGCCGGGTAGGCAGTGGTTCTTCCACATAGAGAGAATCTCTTAAGCTTTTCAGTATGCACAGACTGTTAAGGTGTTCAATCTAAAGCAGTTCTTATGACCAGCATCAGTATTTCTGCAGAAGGAGTTGTGCCGTTTTGTGACTTGAGCTACTCAGGGTGATTAATTTCTCACATTTTATTGATGAATCTTGACAGTGATTATCAAGATCTCATCCTATGGTGGCACTACAGCATATTGGTCATGGGGAATCAAGAAACAGTCATTTCTGGACTGGCCATGCCCTTTGTCGGACCAGTTTTCACACAGGGAGGTTGTCAGTCACCTCATGCTTTTTTTCAGATCTGGTTAGGCCACTGAGTTGTCCTTTATACTAGATCCTGTGAACACTAGTAGGATACACTGAGAATTTAGAGTGGAGAGAGTAATTTTGCAGACACAGACTTCAGTTCTGCCACTTACAGTGTTAGCTGTGAACACATTTCCGTATCAGTTAGAGGTAAGAGTACTTATGATATTGGGTTGTTTGTGAGAATTGAAATGATGTAGCACATATAGATTACTTAGTGTGCTGCCCGGCACAAGAAAATCGAAGCTAATGTGGTGATGATTTTGATCATTTAAATTTTGAGCAGGTTTTTTTTTGTTGTTGTCCCAACTTCTGACCTTTGGGGAAAGTTCTTTGCTTGGGCCCCAGTCCAGACCTGCTAAACCCAAATGCCTGACAGTGGGGTCAGGGAATCTATATTTGAGATGTGTGCTCCAGGGTATTGTTAAAAAACCAAAGGATGAGAACCACTGATTTAGCTGAGAATGGTTTGATTACTATTTTCTCACTACTGTTTTTAGTGGAGAAATTCCCCCCCCCCCTTGCAGCTATTTTTGAAGAAGAGAGGAGCTTGGGCAGTAAACAGTAAAAAAGTTGAATTATTTACTAAAGTCACCTTAATCTCTGCTTAGTTAATGCAGAGACATATAAAACCAAAATTTTAGTTCATTGAAAATCATACTTAACATAATTGTAAAGTGCTCAGCACAAACGTGACTAATAATTAATTAATTAAAATAATATTGTTCTATGTTCTTGGAGGGGAAAGTGATTAGGCTAATGAAAAATAAGGTGTACTTTTGACTTAGAAATTCTGTTTTAAAACATTAAGATCATTATCTGTGTCTTACCTGTTGGTAGTACTTCCCTCCACATGCTGACTTGCATTTTTTTCAGTGTGTATACCATGTGAAGTTTAAAATTTTTATGTATTCAGATAGACAGTTTTTTCCTTTATTGTTTTTGCTTTCTTCATGTGTAGAAAAACTTTCTACCACAGGGTTTTCCCCCGACTTTTTTATATTTAAATGTTTAATCCAGTTTTTTGTTGGGGGGGGAGGGTGTTGTACAGTGTGATGCTAACTTATTTTTGCAATGGTTAGATCATTGTTCAGTGCCATTTGTATGTAAGGAGACCTTTTCCCACTTCCTGAGAATTCATTATTAGAGCTTTAAGAAAAAGAAGTGAAGACCTGACTTAGAGCTAGAAATTGAGTTGTCTAGAGACAGTTTTGGGTTGAAAATGAGTGACCCAGGCACTGATCTTTATATAATGGTGATTTGTCAGTGTCCTGGGCATGGCCCCCCTTACCAGGGCTGCAGGCATCCCTGATTCTCTGCACAGTCACCGTGCAGGTGCTCTGCCTGCAGTTGCGTTGCTGGCTTGCAGCACTGTATCTGGGCTCCCACGTTTTCATGCTGGATATGCCCAGGCTTATCCCTGACTTTGTAAGCTGTGCTTGGTTTTCACTAAAGCCTCATGACTGTCGTGGGTATTTCGATACAAAAAAATACCTTTTCAGTTTAATTTAAAAATAGAAAAGACCTTCTGTTAATCAGATTTACGTATACTTTAAGTTTGAGAACTGTTATTGTGGTGAGCGTTATGTTAAATGCTCACTTTAATCCAGAGTGTGAAATGTTTCAAATTTTGAAACATGTTTCAAGTACTGAAACTTTGGGGAATTTTATTTTTGGCCAGGTTTTTATTTTTACTTATGAAGTAAATATCAGGTCACAGGCAGTTGCAGAGATATCCTATGTTCACTGTTTCCCTTGGCAGTAAAATCTTACATGAGCATCGTGCACTACCACCATATCCAGAATATATGTATGTGTCAGTATAGTTAGTGCATATTATAACCCCAGAAATTGACATTGTATGTAACCCACAGATCAGTTTTCAGATACCATCAGCTTTACATGCATTCGTGTGTAGTTGCAGTTTTATGCAAGTTTTCACCTATGTAGATTCATGTAACCACCCCACAATGAGGATACAGAACTGCTTATCACCACAGAGATCCTTTGTGCTACTCCTGATCAATTTGCTTTTAGATAAGCCACCTTAGAGCTAGAAACATTCAGCCATATGAGATTTGAGGACCAGCCGCAGTCAAGTTTTATTTCAATTTGATCCACAGTGAAAAAAACTGCATTTATGGACGTCACTGATTTTGGATGTCACTGTTACCAAAGACATACCACTTACTCAGCTCCCAGTTTTGCCCCATTGAAAATATTTAATAGAGTTAACTCTTTGACTGTTGTACGATCTACTATTCCATTTCCAATAGGTTTAGGGAATAAAAGCAAAGACAACTAATAACCAGAATTTGGAAAACTACCTATACTTTTCTAGTATTTTTAAGCTTTATTTTCTTTTCCGGCCTGAAAGTACAAGTGCTGTCTGTCCCCACATTAGTTGCTTTTCCTAATGTATTGCTTTCAGTAACAGTTACTGGTATGTAATGAGTTTCTACTCTATAGTTTGATTTTTAAAACCAATTTTTCATAAGTGAGAAATGTAATTTGGGAGAGAAGAAACTTTAAATAAATTATGCCACCTTTTGCCAGCAGTACCTCAGGGTTTTAGGATTTTTTTTAATTGAAAGCAACATGTGTACTCACCAGTGCTTATGTTTTGTATTTCCATTAGAGAATGACAGAAAGAAAAACATCACTTCTATAAACAAGTTTTCTGACATTAAGTTATGGTCAAGAAACTTACCTAAAACTTGACTTTTTCCCTGCAGTTTAATCTGCATTAATCACTTTACAGTGATTACATGATCTAGCAATTCCACTGGTGGGTATATATTCAAGAGAATTGAAAACATATGTTCATAGAAAAATTGTGCATGAATATTAATAGCAGGATTATATATTAATAGCTCAACAGTGGAAAATAACCCAAATGCCCATCTTCTGATGAAGGATAAACAAAATGTGTATATCATCCCTAAAATGGAATATTATTTGGCCATAAAAAGGAATACAGTGTACTGATAAATGCTACAGTGGATGAACCTTAAAAATAAGTGAAAAATCAGACTCAAAAGGCTGCATATTATATGTTTCCATTTATGTGAAATTCTCATAATAGGCACATCTGTGGGACAAAATAGATTCATGGTTGCCTAGGGGTGGGGATTGAGGATTGAAAGTTGAGACAGAAAATGACATTATTACATAATTTCAAGCAATAATTTTTACAGAAAAATTTAGGGAGTCATTTTCTTTGAGTCTTTATTTTCCATTTCCATTTTATAATACTGTTGTAAGGTTTGACAGGAGGAAATGGAATAACAAGATTAGTTATTTCCTTTTTGGAACAAAGGTACACTGTAGGGTTGATTATAAATCAATTGTGGATTTGTTGAAAGAAAGTGGTGATAATGTCTGTATCTGAAAGATAGTGATACCTATTTGAACTGGTTTGTTGTGAGGCTTAAATGGACGTGAAAGCACTTAAATCTGAAAAGAACTTTGTTAGTTGTTACCACCACCACTGAGCCTGTCTATAGTATAAAATGCCAGACTTAAAAAATACATAGCCATGCCTGGGAGGGGATAAACAACTTTTCTGATCAAGTAGTGTGTTCTGCGAGTGTGCGTACAGTTTCTTTTCTTTTTCTGATTTATCAGCCCTTTAAATTAAGATAAGTAACATTTTATGCTGTGCTTCAAAATGCTGTCCATTTAGAGGAAAACAAAATTACAATGTAACTTTTCCCCATTGATTTTAAAATTGTGACTTTGTAGTTTATTATGCAGCAGTACACAGAATTACCTCTGCAGCATTTAAAAAACCACTGGTGTCTGAACCTGTTCTCAGAGGTTTGATTTAATAGGCCTGGTGTGGGTCACTGACATTTGTGAGAGGCATGATCAGAGATCTTTGCAAATCTGAAGTTTCATAGACCTTTCGTTGTAAGAAGAGTAACTTATAATTAAATCCATAGTGAGAGAGAACAAAGCTACATGTTGATGGGACATGAGGTGACCTGGTTTAGTACTTGATCCTGCCTTCATACATGCTTACTTTATTACCCAGGCCTCCACTGTAGTGAATTTCAAACTAGACTATTGTTTGAAAAGGAATAACAAATGAAAAACAGACATTTTGTAATGTGAGGCATTGTTCTGGTTTTGTTCCAACCTGCAATCAAAGAAGAAAGACCACACTTAATCCTCCATTTTAGCTTGTGTAATACAGTGAAACTGAGATAATGTAGATAATGAAGCTGAACCGTGAATATCAGCATGATTTCTTATTTTTCAATTTAAAACACCATACAGGTGTTTTTGAGGATTAATTTGAAAACATTTAAAGATCCTCTCTCCCTTTTACACCAGCATTTGTGGCATTTTAATTTTGCTTCAGGATAAGCAAATATTTTGTTTGGCTGAAATAGATTTATTTAGGGGGAATATGTGTAGTCCATGAAGGAAAATTTTAGAAGTATTCCCTTACTTTTTGTGTTCTTAGGAGGGGATTTTAATATATTAGGGCAGTTTCTGTCTAGAAAACTGGTTTCCAGTTTTTAGTATATATTCTACCCAAAGGTTTTCAAGTTCTCTTTAAAATAATGATACCCTAAATAAAGGAGATATCAGTTTCCAAAAATTCGCATTACCATAGCAATATTAAATTTGCAAAATTGGATTTGCAGTTTTGGTGTTGTAAAATAGAATAGTAAGTTATATTATTGAGTAAATTCCTTGTTTTAAACTGAAATACTCACAGAGGACTCTATTTCTGTCTTACTCTGTTAGGTGTAAAGATTTCTTCTCTCTGTGTTACTGGAATCCCTATTGGATGCTGCCCTCTGATGTTTGTGGAATGAACTGCTTTTGGGAAGCGACTTTTAGGTAGGCACTTAATATTAAATTGATAGATCAGTGTAGGTAAGATTAGATAGTAGATAATAAATTTTTAACTGTAATAGGATGAGAAAAATGTTTTTTTCCCAGTAATTTAATATTATCTGACAAGTAAATAATTCATTTTCTGATTGGATTTTCTATTTTTCCCAGCTTGTAGTTATCACTAATTTTTTCATATATACTGCATATAAAATACCCTGTTTTTAAATGTTATTATGATAAACTATTCTTAGGAGGATTTCTGATCTAATTTTAGATAACAGGTGATAAAATGATAAACAGATGTTAAGGATAGACTTCCACTGACATTTAGAGCCATATATACAACATTTATTTAAAACTGGTATACTAAAAAAGCATTTTGTAGGTGGATGGGAATAACAGGGGAAGGATTATGTTGGTTATTAACCGAGAGATGGAGTATTGGGAGGATAAAGATAAGTGTTTAATGAAGGAGCAAATGCTATGGCATTGTTTATTGACCTTTTAAGTTACTGAACAGTTGGACTTCGTTCACGGCTCTGGATAAGAAATGCATTGGATTGGCTGACCTCTCAGGTCCCTTTGTGCTGTAACCTTCAATGAAAGAAACAAGTATTGATAGGAATGTGATATCAGACTATCTCCCTGAGATAGTGGCAGGGGAGGGTGAGGCAGTAGCCTGAAATGCCCATCCTAAGAGTAAAAATAATAGGTCTTTGAGAGTCATCTTCTTTTACTTTGTCTTTATGATTCATTTAAATTTTAATTCTAGTCATTCAATTTGCCAAGAACAGTGCTAGGAGTCTGGTTAACGAGGCTCTATCCTTCTGGGCTTCACACTAGTAAACATGAGATTTAAAAGGGTGTGACATATTGTAGCTGTGATGATGGGAGAAATAGGTGAGTCATTAGGTGGGATCATCTTAAAGCATCAGGGAGGACTTCCTGGAGGGAGCGATTACATGATGAACAGGAAATTAGCCAGGCTCAAGGACAGGAGGTGAAGTATTCTACATGGGGAAAACTGCATTCTTAATAT